TCCTGATTCTGGATCTCTTCTTCCTGATTCTGGATCTCTTCTTCCTGATTCTGGATCTCTTCTTCCTGGTTCTGGATCTCTTCTTCATGATTCTGGATCTCTTCTTCCTGATTCTGGATGTCTACTTCTTGCTTCTGGCTCTCTTCTTTCTCCTTTTGCTTCAAATTCTCTTAGATTTTACTCCTTTCCATCCTGTCGTTTTTGGCTTTTCTTCTTCGACAGCTTCGAGCGTAGAGTGAATTGTCGAAGTTTTTAATCTCCGGAAATTGAGGCGCCTTTAAGGTGAATGATTTAAGTTTACTCTTCACCACAAAACTCTTGAGTGCTTCATATTATTTTCACTTTCGATGGTGACTCAAATGTAAATCTAGTGAGATATAAACAACATAATTTTCATTACGAAACTGAAAAAATGGTGTTTTGCAAACGAGGAGCAAATTTATAAATGGTGGCGTCACCGCCACAGGAACTGCCAAAGCTACTGATTTACAGATAGCCGTTCACAATGGAGATAAGACGTTGCTATATTCTTGACAGTAATATGTAATGTTCTTTGACTGAGCCCATCGTCTTAGTCATACATGTTCCAAGAGATATATCTGATTATTCTGCTTTGGTTCATCCCGTTCACCTCTAGAAATAAAGAATCGTGTAGTAATCAATCATTATGTCTACTTGTGCGATCTGGCTGTATTAACTCTTTTCCTCGCTTGATAAATACACGTCTCCTCCATTATTTTTCTTCCTGCTCGTATTATTTTTCTTCTTCTTTCAATTCGTTTTGTTTGTATACTTCATGTTCTTTCGTACTACTGTCTATTACAATCTTACTGTGGGTGTGGTTGGCGAGCGTGGCGCTGAGAGCTGGGCTGGGGCCGGTGCGTGCGCAGGTGCGGCCCATCCTGAAGAACGCGGCGGACGGGCTGCGCTCGCGCGACCGCTCGGCGTCGCCGCGCCCGCGCCTCTCCTTCAGCGCGGACGAGGGCTGTGACGGCTCGCCCCCCGTCGCCCTGCGCCGGCGCCCCGCCCCCTCACCTGGCCACTCGCCCCCGCAGGTGCGTCCCGCCACGCCCCGCTTGCCACTTCAGCCGGCGGGGCTTACGTGAAGCCCTCCTGTAGGTCGTTGCCGCATCCCGCGATATTACATGCACCACGCTTTCGGGTTCTAAATAGGCATTTCATCTCGAATAGAGACATACTCCAAGTGAGAGAGGACTGCTAAGATATTGTATATGATACAGTACAAATGCCAATTTTCCACTTGTATCCCTAATAAACTGCGAAGGCTTACGCACAAATACCGCAATATTAAACTCCGTCTGCAATAACGCAGATCAGACAAAAAATTTAAAAAATGCAAATAGAAGTGCACGTTGCACGTGTTAATGTGTAATGTTTGAAAATAATGGCCATTCTAGTCTTCGGATAAATGTTCGGAATTTCCAGGTCATATAGCTGAGTCGTAGGTAATAATTTTTTGCCAATGAACATTTGGAAAATATCGTGTATCGATATTACACATGTTCCATTTGCCACTCAACTCACTTTGTATTGGTGGTTGGCTGGTACTCGAAATCTTGATGGTATTTACAGATCATGAACCTAATATGGAGCTCTCAGTGCACGATGAATTCCGTATCAATTACGGACGAAATGATGAAAATTTCCTACGCGTAAAATGCGATTTCTCATAATATGTTCATTGAGAAAAAGTTATCAACCTCGTACATTCCCTAGAAGTTTGTTTAATCCACTCCAAAGTAGCTTATATAGTGTACATTTCTCATGCGTTTCATTTATCCACATGTTCTGGTTGTTCGTCAACATAAGGCCCGCTGCTAGGGCCGGGCCATGGTGGAAAGAGATGAGTAATCTACTCCGGAGCACCAGTTTGCGTCACGAACCACGTGACCACAGCATGGGCCCTTCGTTTTGAAAAGCCAGACCAGACGCTGGTCGCCATATTGCAAAGAGAGCGAGAAGTGATGAGAAACATTTTGAAAGTAGCATGAGGCGATAATTTTCAACGGTGACCCCCCAAAAATTACACGAAGGTCTACAAAATGCTTAATAAATCTGTTTCAATGACTTGTATGACAATGTAATTCTTTTGGCGTCTGCCTACATTTAAAATTCCCGCTAGTATTGTGACGCAATCTGGTGCCTGAAGCTCACTGGCTGACGTCGGATGTGATGCGCAATACGTAATATTTTTAAGGAGCAAACTTATGCTATGATGTTTATTTATTTAATTATTTTTGTCCTGTGATTATATATAATCTCCTTTGGGTTGTGAATTAGTGTCTTTTGATTTGGCTGTTTTGAACGGGAATAGGTGTATATTCAATAATATTGTCTGTTTGATCATGTAATTCTAATGAAGCTCTAGCAGCTGTCCTTGGTGGGCCGGGCGTTGATGGCTGCTGTGCGTGTTGCAGGCGCTGGGCGAGACCCCGCGCCGGCCGCTGTCCGTGGCCGAGCGCATCCTCACCATGGAGTCGTTCCTGGAGCAGGAGGCGCAGGCGGTGGCGGCCGCGCCCACGGGCGCCGTGCCCAAGCGCCTGGGCTCGCTGCGCGCCTACCGCCTCGCCCACAAGGAGCGCTTCCACACGCAGCCCGTCACGCAGGACGAGCTGCTCGCCTCCGCCAGGTGACTAGGAGCGCGAGGTGGAGGGCTGTCATAGACACATACATGTGTTTACTCAAATGTCCGTGTTTCAAACGTCAATATAAGAAACGCCAATGTTTCGTACTGGATGTTTTTGTTTTGTGTGTGTGTGTGCGCGTGAGTGTGTGTGCGCGTGAGTGTGTGCGCGTGAGTGTGTGTGTGTGTGTGTGTGTGCGTGAGTGTGTGTGTATGTATGCGAGTGTGTGTGTATCTATGCATACACACACTCGCATACACTCGTGTGTGTGTGTGTGTGTATGTATGCGAGTGTGTGTGTGTATGTATGCGAGTGTTGTGTTGCGTATGTGTGAGTAGTGTGTGCGTATTGCTGAGTGTCGTGCTATGTGGAGTGTGTTGCCGTTATGTGTGGAGTGCTTATGTGTGTGGTAAGTGGTATGTGTGCAGTGTGTGTGTGTGCGTATGTGTGAGTGTGTGTGTGTGTGCGTATGTGTGAGTGTGTGTGTGCGCGTATGTGTGAGTGTGTGTGCGCGTATGTGTGAGTGTGTGTGTGTGCGTATGTTTGAGTGTGTGCGTGCGTATGTTTGAGTGTGTGTGTGCGTATGTGTGAGTGTGTGTGTGCGTACGTGAGTGTGTGTGTATGTGAGTATGTATGTGAGTGTGCGTGTATGTATGCGAGTGTGTGTGTGTGTATGTATGAGAGTGTGTGTGTGTATGTATGCGAGTGTGTGTGTGTATGTATGCGAGTGTGTGTGTATGTATGCGAGTGTGTGTGTGTATGTATGCGAGTGTGTGTGTGTGTGTATGTATGCGAGTGTGTGTGTGTGTATGTATGCGAGTGTGTGTGTGTATGTATGCATGCGAGTGTGTGTGTGTGTATGTATGCATGCGAGTGTGTGTGTGTGTGTAAAATCCCCATAATTACAATGTTGTTAAAGTAAAATTTAAAGAAAAATAAGCTCTGTTACCACCACCAGTTATATTGTTCGAACTAAAGGAACGCTGTACCACCTTGTTTGAACGGAACACATCTTTCGCCCGAGGTGCCCCTCCTTCGTATTGACAACGTGCTTCCTCGTGTTTCGCAGTTGGGGGGTGGCCAACGTATGCCCCGTGGGTAGGACGTCCCGTATTCTTCCCCGCGCCCTTTTCACGATCTGACGACTGACCTTCCGAGATAAGCCATTTTTGTCCATTGTTATTATTTTTGTTATGTTCTCAGATGAATCGTAATTACAAATTAATAAACATGGCCACGGTCAATTTAAACTTTGTTTCGCACAAATTTAATGTAGGATGTTAGTAAACCAGCTTTTAAAGATTGATGGTTTTTCACCGATGTCGCATCACCAGAGAGTTGTCGACTAGTGTGTTCTTCAGACCTTTTTCAAGCCTTTTGGTCGTGATTGGAATGGGACCATCTTCCACGTCTCCATACCAGGGTTCATATCTTGGTCGATCTATGAGGAATTTATGGAGGACAAAGTGAATTCGGAGCAGTTTTTCTGAGGGTTTTCCTGTTTCGTGTGACTCTCATTCCACTATAGCTCCATCATTTTCTTCTCCATCATCTCCTAAGCACCAAATCATTCATTCATTCCAGTGATGACCATATTGCTTAGGCACTGGATTCAATATGAAGAATGTAGTATACTTCGTTGCGGAGGCGACCCGTGATGTACCGCTCATCTTCCACCTCTGGGTACTGGGATGCATTTCCAGAGAGAAGCATGTGCAATTTGAGTCGCACAAACGGAATTCGTGTCATGTTTTCTCGGGGTTCTCCCTTTACCCACGACTCATTCCACCATATCTCCCTCATTTTTTTCACTATCAAAACCACCTGTCCATTAGAATCATTCGTCCACAACAGGTGTGACAATAAGGCTTAGGAACTGTATCTTAATGACGATGTTCACTGAGAATATCTAATTAAGATAGGTTGTCTCCTGTAGCCTAGTTGCCGCCTTGTAACCCAGCTTTCTTCCAGCCACCTTCTGACATGTCTGTTCTCCATTAAGCCTGATCCCCAACTTTGGTCTATATCTGTTTCTTCGATTCGACGGAGACCTATTACGTACCTGCTTTGGCCATCTAGTGTTGAATATTCGCAGAACATCCCCAAACTGTCTTAATACGCTTCAATTATGCCTATAATACCAACATTGTTACCTATTTTTCGTACGATAACATTTCTAACCCATCCTTACATCTATGCCGCTAGATACCCATATCTGCAACTCTCAACCGTGGCTCAATTTCTTTGACATTCCCCACAATTCTGACCGCAAAGATAAAGGGAAAGAGTATTTTCCACATGTTACCGACTGATGTAGGCGGCTTCAACATATTTAACATGGGGCTATTTTTAAAACTTTAAGGTATATTCCCGTAAATAAATTAATAAAATTGATAACAAATATATATATATATTAGATAATTTATTCTATTAATATTCATAAAAATTAATAACTTCATTAGTAAAGATTAAGGGCTTCAAAGAAAATCAGCCAAGTGTGCAACTTATGCATGTTACAAAAGTTTAAAGCTTTTGTTAAATTGTTTAATATTTCTGGAGAAGTGCTTTGAATTTAAAGGCGGTTCTAACGTTGGAAAAAAGGGTTTGGTCACGATTATCCTCGAGCCCCTTCTCCCATCCTTGCGGCGCCTTTGTTTCTTCTCTCTTACATCGAGTGAAGCATTTACACAAGTTAGTATTTGAAATAATATTGCTGTAGGAATAATAATTTCAAAACAATGCTTTACAAGTGCTGAGAGGTCTGTACCAGATTGTGCGCAGCTGGTCCCTACTGCTAGGGCTCTCCTATCCCCAAACTGTTCTAATATGCTTTATACCATATGTTATTTAATAATTACTATTATTATTATTTATTACTGCAAATAAGCGTACGTTTGGTGGCAGTTATAAATAAAAAAGTACAAATATCGTAAAGTACAATAGAACAATCAATAAATACAAATATTAAAAAAAATAAAACCAAGAGAAATAAACAAGAATTAAATAAAATAAAACACAAATAGACCAATATAAAGAATTAGATAAAATGTGTCCATATCTACTCCGTACCCAACTCATCTCCCTTCAACGCATCTCCCTTCTGTAACCAGTAATGTATTTATTAACTCTAGTGTTAACATATTTGAGCTGCTCTCCCACAAAGCGCGCCCCCCCCCCCTCCGGCCATCCTTCCTCTGGATTTCCTAAGTTCGTCTTCTTGTACGGCTCGTAGGTTGCAGTGACTACTACCGACGGTACCGCCGCTCGTCGTTTACTGTTCTGGACCTTGGAACTTATAGAAAATCACACATGGAACAATAAAAAGGCAATGAATAAGTAATACGCATTTAAAAACTGAAAGACAAAATGTGCGATGAAGAAAAATACCCGCGAACCGCTTGCTTGTGGCTGAACGCTCGGACGCAACTGGGAGTTTGAATGACCGTGTAGGTGCGTGTTGATCGCCAACGGTTGAGCGTGCAGGTTCGAATTGAGGGGCCCGTGGGGGATAATTGCGTGCGTGCGTGCGTGGGTGGGTGCGTGGCGTAGCGCCGCGGGCCTTCCGCGCAGGGGAGCGGAGCTTCTGCGTGCTGTCGTGCGCCGCCCCGAGTGCGCTGCTCCGTTACGCGGAAGTGCTGGTCTTTCTGGGAGAGGGCGTTTGCGCGCGTTGGCGGGGAGTTTCGGCTTGGAGGCTACCAATTGCCCGAGAAACCATCGGGAGAGTCTGCTTTCCGCGCTCGCTTTCTATCTCCTTTTCCATCTTCCCTATATCTCCTTTTTCTGTGCATCAACTGATGCAGCGTCTCTTACCGGGAGGTCGAAGGGTTCCACACCCGATGATGGTGGGATTTTCGACACTAGATTGTCAACAGGTCAAATTCAGTCGCTGTCTGGAGGAGAATTATAGCGTCCCGCTGCTCCGTTCGTTGCTTTTCTGTGGTTTCTCCAACCAACACCAGGCGAAAATCGGAGCAGTGCCCTAACAAACGAGCCACGGACCGTGGGTGATCTTTCTTTCCACTTCCTTGTTGTATCCTCACCCCTTACACACTCACGCCAACATGCCGAGAGACCGGTCGGGAGCTTAAAGCTTGTACCGTCTGGGGCGATGCCCCTCTGGTAGGAGATACCTGCTTGGGAAAACCTCGCTAGCCGACGGTAGGGCGGCGCCAGATGTCTCCATCCAGCGGGGGAAGATAACCGCCACCTCCCGAGGGGAAACACGCACTATACTTAAGGGACTAACGACGCGCCTGAAATCACTAACAACCAAACAATCCTTTTTCGACACCTCGTTCCTTGTTTTTTTCCCAAATGCTGTCTTTTTCATCTTTTATTTCCCCTCTCCCTCTTTCTCGTCTCCCTTTCCCCCTCCCCCATCATCTTTGTCATTCCCTTTCTTTCTCATCCTTCCCTATCTTTCCTCTCCCTCTCTCCCTCTCTTGCCCTTCTCTGCCTCCTCTCCCACCTCTCTCGCCCCTTTTCCTTGACTTACCATTTTCTTGTTCCCTCTTTTCTTTCCTTTCCTTCTTGCCATTTTCCCCGGTCCTCTATCTAAATTTCTTCTTTGTTTATTTCGTTGTCATCTTTTTTTTTTTTTCTTTGAAAAAAAGAGAGAGAAAAAAAGGAGTATCATGAGGAAAAACAAATGACTCATTTGGTGTCATTGTTTCCTTTTTAAAGAGACAAGTACATGTATATAATAAGCAAGTTCGTATTTTCCTTCCAATTCTTTTGAAAATGTAAATTAAATATTTTTATCATTTTGTCTTTCATTTACATCTGTAACAATAAAACTTTCATTCAGTCATTCCCAACATATGACTATTGTCTTAATTGTTTTGTGAAAATGTATTTTAGGAAATGCATCCAACGATGTGGGAAGTTTTTATGAAACTTTGCCAAGTTTTCTAGAATGTTTATTTCTCTGGGCTGTGCCTTTGGGAGGGGTGCTGTGCTGGTGCCAAGTCTAATTTTAGTTCTGGAACTGGGTTCTTGATCCTCTGAGAGCACCCAGAGCTTGAAATTTGCAAGTGTCTGGAGGCCAGTGGTTTCAGACAGTTGGTTCTAGAGTTTCTGTGTTGCTGTTGGTGTTATTCTCACTTGTTCTGTTGTGCAAGATGACAGTTTCCTTGAAGCTTTAGGAAAGGTTCAAATAAACATAACATTCATCGAAGAAAAATGTATAAGTGAAATTAAAATAATTTAAATTTTCTTTTAGATATGTACATTTTTGAATTTTACATGCTCATTAAATGCTTATATACACTATTTAATTTTTGTCCATTATCTCAAGTTCATATGGCAGGTGTAATTGTGAAATGTCATTTTGTTTTGAGTTTAGAGAATGAAATGTCAAATACAAAAGCTTCATGAGAATAAAAATAATTTTTTGCTTCCCTGATTACAGATTTAATCACATAATATCTCCTGTGGAAGTGGAGATTCAACATAAATTAGAAATAAATGGCTGTGACCACGAGACTGAATCTTTGGAGGGAATCTCTGGCTTGAGTCAGAGACTTACTGGTATCAGCCCACCTCCAAGAACTGATAGAGTAGAGACCAAACCTGAGACTGTGCCCTCTCCCATAGACTCAGCTGGTAACTCAAGAAGAAGCAGTTTGTTTGAAGAGGTTGATTCTTCTGTCATCAGAGAATCGTGTGGAAGTGTATCAGCTCGTGCTTCGTTATTTGCGAGACTTGAGGAAGAAATGAAACAAGCTGCACAGGAGGCTAAAGTGCCAAAGAAGAAGGATGGCAGTGCAGTTAGCAGGTAATGAACCAGAAATTATTAACATATTTTTAATGAGATATTCATTTTATCAAATTGTTCCTAAATCATGCGTGAATAGTAGAATGAAATTTAATACTTTAAGTCTCTTTTCAACAATTATTGGGTATATTTATTATTTATATTGGTTTATCATGGTATATTTGCTATACGTAATTGTTATTCAGATGTATATTTGTTATTTTTACAGTAATTCAATTTTCTGTTGAATAATTTCATGAAAATAACTTTTCAAGAAGGTTATATTTAATATTATTTCTTACATATGTAATGTTAATGAGTGCAATAATGTTAAGTTTTATATTATTCGTAGCTTTAGAAACATTTTCAGGGAACAAGAATGATAACTACAAATAAATTTAAATTAAATTTTATTTGTATGAATTCTTTTTATCAACTTGAGGATACAAGAAATGTGCTGGATAATTTTAAATTGCATAGCAGTTAATAAAAACACTGCCATAGTTACAAAATGCTATGAAATTTAACAGCAATCTCTTCTTGTAGGTATAAAGCTCGAAGAGAGCAAATGTCCAATTCAACAAGATTTTCTACACAACCTGTGACCCAAGAGGAAGTGCAAGAGGCTTGGAGACAGAAAGAGCAAAATAGGGCCAGTCCTGATTCAAGTCCAGACGAACCAACTCAAGGGGTGCAAGGTAGATCATGGTTTGACTGCATGACTGCACTGTATATATGACAGGGCATGTGAGCAGGGCTGTAAAGTGCTGGAATGGGAGGTTGTTAATGCTCCTCATTCATTTAAAATTTTCTTCTAGACAAAATTGAACAGTGAAAATTGATATGCAAGTAATATCATACTTCAGATTTATTTTGTTTGCTTCATATTAGATAATGCATCATTTGTAAGTACTATTTGGTTTTGTCTTATTCTCACTGAATAGCAGTGTACTGAATACAAAGTAATTTTGTGCATTTTTTTTCAATATTTTCTGAACTTTTTTCTTGCTCATACATAAAAATGTTTAATTCTTGCATGGCTATTCAAGTTAAATTGCAGTATATCTTGTTAGAAAATTTCTTTTACTTCGGTTATAATTTTTTCTCTGAGTTCTGGAATACATTTTCTGCTTATGTGACCTGTCTAAAAACTTGAATACCATTTCAGTAAGAAGACTACTTTGTTGGAAGTTTTGTTTTTGTTGTGCATTGTGGACTGTTGGAATGTTTTAACTTCATTGCATGAGGTAGCATGTCATCTTTTGTTTTTGTGCCTGTTTTTCCTGGGATGTAGATGAGGATGATCCTTCTAAGTTAAGTCTGGCTGAGCGGGTAAAACTATTCAACCAGAAGATCAAGGACGGCCAACTAGCGAAGCCAGTCGAGACGTTGGCCCCACCCACTCGGAGGCGAGCTCCTCGCTTCCAGACGATGCCCATCACTACAGAGGAGGTGGAGACAGCCCAGCTGATCTCTCCTTTGGCTGCCAGTCTCGTTAAACCTCCAGACCCCAAGCTCCTAGGTGTGCCAACTTCACAAATTAAGTCTGGGTCAAAATTGTTTTAGTGCTGGTGTGCAGAATCTCCTTTAAATTTTACTGTTCTTCTTGTGTAAATTTACAGAGATATTCTTTATGAAACAAAAATTCAATGAATATTTAATTTTTGATTGGTGGTAATAACAAATTACAAGAATTGGCAACTTTTAAATTTGCCAATTCTTGCACACCAGAACTATTTTTAAGTAGTTTTTAGAGTGAACATAAAATACAATTAACATTACTGATTGCTTGATGATGTGGCTGAAATTAAAGCTTTTACTAAATTAATATTGTGCTAAGGAGTGAATGCTATGTTTCGGAGACTAAACCTGTAATGACCAAAATTGATACGAGCTGCCTTACTTTTTACTAATGCAGATAATCCCTTACAATAATGTGAAGAATTCCATTGAAGAAAATTTAGGAAAGTGTCAATTTATTTTGTAAGTAATATTTTGTTTCCTGTACAGTAATTCCTTTGGTAATGTACTAAAACTGATTTTGCTTTTGTATAGCACTTTTCATTTTATTTTGGTTCTTGTTTTCTTAATTTCAAATTGCTCTGTATATATTTTATGTGTTCTAAGAGTTGATGCATGGTATATTGTTTAAAGTTATGTTATTCCTATTCAAAATGATATTGTAGTATGAAAGTAATTTCAGTAACACAGTATTAATAACATCAATCATATTTCAAAATAATTTGTTGTGATATACATTTGACTTCTTAAAAATATAAAGAAAAGAAATATATTACATTTATTTTCACTTATTAACATTTGTACTCATAAAATTGGTACAGAATGGTTAACTGTTAATCATTCAAAACACACAATTTTTCAGAGTTCCTTTACTGAATATAAATTAAAAATTTCGGAAAATTGTCTCCATTGCAGGTACAATGTCTGCCAGAGCTGCCAAGGACCGTATGCTAGAACATGGAGCCCAGATGCTAAGCCGATCTAACAGTCTAAGCCAACAACATTCGTTCTCTGAATCTGAGCCACGACGCAAAGGTAATATTATTATTGTTATTACTATTATTATTGTTATTCCAATTGTATTATTATTATTATTATTATTTTTTATTATTATTATTTTTTATTATTATTATTATGTACATCTTATTTATGCTCTTTTCTATTATGTTTAGTCCTCTCTGTGAATTGTTTCTGAAAGATAGTACCATGAAGAATCATACTTTTTTAATAGCTCTTTAGAAAAAATAAATGCTTTAAACTGCTTTTTAATTTGGCCAATATTTGGCTGTGATATTAAGTATTAATTAGTTTAATTTAATTTGCTTGTATCAACTTTTTTATTTCATTAACTTTTATTCAACACATGATGAAATCGCCAATTGGAAGATAATTCAATTTGTTAAATTCTTAAAATCTATGATTTTTCCTCAATAATAAATTAAAAGTTTATTATAAACTTACTAATGTTTGACATGATTTCTAATATTGCATATTTTTCATACAATTCTCAGTTACGACCTACTTAAAATAAAGTTTTCACTTAAGGAAATTAAACTAAATCACCCTTCAAACTCTTCCATTGTTCAGCTGCCTTTGTCGATTTAACTATTTTACATTATTAATGGTCTTAATTTTCCAGCTAAATTTATCCACCTTCCTTACGGATTTGATAAAGTTCCATATTCATTAAATGTTTAACTACTTCTACTTTAACATTCTACTTCTCCACTGCACTCTCTGTAGGCAATCTCTTCTTTATTTGTATGAAGACAGTTTCCTCCTTATAAGGTTATCTCTACCTTTCTGGTAGGATTCCTTGAGTTCCTTGCAGCTATTCATTTATTCATGCTTTTGATTGAACTGCATAGTTTCTTAGATCTTTCTAAAGATGAATGATGTTCCAAATCATCTATCTTGGCAAGATCACTATATTGGAATACATAGTGATCACTTTTCATCATTATTCCATTTCGTCATTTAATGCATTCTCAAAAAGGCTTTTACCCCTCAAACCTAACCAACTGTATTCATTTAAAGATCTAAATGACACCTATCTTTACCACTTGCTCATTATAAAAGTTTTCTCAAGAAATTTAAACACCCACTTTAAAACTGACATTGTTAAAGATGATTATATAATTTGTTTCATTTTCCTGTTTTTTTTCTGTACGCATGATTATGCCCACGTTCAGTATAAGATCAGGATCAAATCGCAAACTGAATCTTATTGTGTGAAAATATATTATTGAACATTATTGTGGATTTGTAATGTTTCCCAGTTCAATTCAGTTCAGTCCAGTCCAGATTTGGGGATGGATGCAGAAATTATTTCAGGGTAGGAATGAGAGCAGGTTCCCTGATAATGAATTTGTTTATATTTATTGTTGTTGTTGTTGTTAATAATAATAATAATAATAATAATAATAATAATAATAATAATAATATTTGGTAGTTTGAAATAAAAAAAGTGCATTGACATAAATAATGAGAGTACTTCTTTTGACAAATATGATTCGTGTATGGATATGGATGTTTGAATAAATTGAGTAAACTTTTTAAAAAAAGGTGTGATTTGAAGTGGCCACGAGTGTCATGGCCCCCATGGTTGGGAATACAAAAAGTGTGTCTGGGCAATGGGGGCAAAACTGGGCAATGCAAAAGTATAATTTTCCCCAAAATATGAAAACAAATATTGTATTTGTACATTCTACAGTAATTATACTATTTTACGGGATCAAGGCCACAGGCCTTAGTTCTACACCCGTGTAATCGACCCAGGCTTCCTTTGAAGCATAGCCCAGTTCTAGGGGGCCTTCTTTTGAGCAAGCGCGTCGTGTGGACGTCCCTTTAAGCGCCTAGGTGTGTTTCTCCCTTTTCAGTCGGATGTCGGGTTCACTGAGGTGTATTCGAGCTCTTAGACGAGAGGTCTCGTGAGAGCGAGGTATTCCCGGGGGGATTTGATTTTGCGGGGAACCTGCGAGGGTCCTTTAAAATGCTACGATCATGACATGACCACTGTGGGGTTTATCGCCCTTCGAACCCGTGCACTGAGGGTTCGGAAGCCAGCAGCAGCAAGCCCCTCGCCCTCCAAGGTGCGGAATACACA